AAAGGTTGGCTCTTTGCCAGGCCAGCTTTCCTGCGTGCCCACCCATGTAACGTGCGTCACTGTCGTCAGCTTACAGCGCCATCAAACTAACTGTAAAAGTCCTAACTGACATCATAGGTCAACTCCCTAACCAGTTCGGATAGATAAAGTAGAATATTTTTCATCATATAGTCATGATCTAGAGAAATGTATGGATCAGAATACCCATGCGATCTCTTTTACCTGGTCGGAGCTGTCCCGATAAGCCAAAACGCAAGTTCCAGGAGGGCTGGGGAATAAATTCACCCTAGGGAAAAATGCTTATCCGTTTGATCACTTTCAGTGTTAGTTCAAGCTTCACCTGCTTTTTCTTTGCCACTGTCACATTTCTTTCGGTCTATTCAGAAAATGAAGGCTACTGCTGCTGTGAGTAACTAGTGGATTGAAATGCGGATTATTCGCAAAGATGGCTAGCGCAAAGCTCTCCATAACGGTATCCACGGCTATTCAAGGCAAGCCCCTAGTAGGAACCACGCCGCGAGTGAATTGGCAGATTTGCAGATACAGAAGTCGTGCCGCCTTCGGTCATAAGGCTTCTGTCAACCAAGGGATTGAGAGTAGAAGAAGCAGACTGTCTGTGAAGAACTAACCAGGAAAGTCTTTCAGGTCGCTTTTTCAGGCGCTTTTCGAAACGGTTCGTTACGTGTTATAGGGCACGAAGCATAAAACTGATGAGCATTTTTTCTGAGCGGCCCTGGGATTGCCAGAAAAAGGGCAGGGAATTTTCTATGGGAAGTGAAACCTTTCCAATTTTTCATCACCTCACAGCATCGAATAGTTGCATTTTGGAAGGTTTTTTTCACTGAATAAGCTTCGACATATATGAGCCCAAGAAAGTGGAAATCAGAGAAATGCAAAAATTTGTCCTCAGTGGGGATCGAACCACAAGCCATGGTTTCGACATGATTTTTTAGCATTCCCAGAGCCGCTCAGAAGAAATTCTTCCCAGTACATCCTTGCGCAATTTTCTAAAATATGCAGACAACCGTTCTGAAAAAGTGGTCCGTGTCCTGAAAGACTTTCTTGGTAAAACTAAGCCTTATGAAAGAATAAATGAAGCAGAGATTTTGTAACAGTACATTTGTGTGAGAGCTCCCAGACAGCACAACAATACGCTGAAGTGCCAAGCCTCACGGCCATCGCAACCGTCCCGCCCACCGTGGTTGTTGTAAGGATCGTACATGACGGGTGCTGCACGACGTAGAGCCAGTAGCACTCCAACTTTATCAGACCGAAAGTTAGCAATTGATGCTGCTGTGATTGAAAAAAACAGCCAAACACGCCCCCCCCCCCCACTACGTGGGTTGCTGCAGAAGGAGAGGGGGCCTTGTACGGGGCGTGACCGGCAGTTCCTTTTGATGTTTCGCTTTTTCAGATCGCTCCCCACCCCCAACTTCATTGCTGAACCTTCTCACCCACATGTTTTATACAGGGCTTGCCTCGAAAATGTTGTTAGGGGAGCTGAACCGAACAGTGTTTTTCATCGACATAGTGCGAATAAATCTTTGTGAATTACTTCATGGAGTGGCAATTACTTTGGTTACCTAGATACCCTTATGATGTAAGTCGCACCTGCAGAATTTGTCGTGTCGACTGGATTTGACAACCAGAAGAGGATCTCGGCAAGGCCGAGCAATGCAGCTCCTCCACCAAGAATGACGATACAGAATGAGAAGAATGACAAATAGCCTGGAAAATTGGAGCAAATATAATTGGCATTCCTCTTAAGAAATAACTGAACTAATACATGTAGGAGAAAGGCTATCAGACTCTTATTTGCCTTCATATAATGCCGTATTTCACCTTCACTCAAAGAGGGAGTTTACGATCAGGAGGCAGCTCATTAAAATCACGCTAAGCTGCTTTACGAAAG